TTCAGTACATGGTTCAGTTTCTTCAGCTGACAGATGGTCTCTCTGTGGTCCACTGAGTTCCACTGTGTCACAGTCAAGGTCTGTTTCCAGACGTGGCTATCACTGCCTTGTGAACTTAGAGCTTAGTAAAGTGACTCTCCTTCCTCCCTCATTTTATACTGCAAATGCCACAGAGCTTGTGCAAAGCCTTTGCCTCCTAAGAAAAGCAGGCATGTCAGGGCACTTACAGGGCAAGCAGACTCATAAACAAATGGCACTTCTTTTCTGCCAGTGGTTATGAGGGTTTGAGAATGATGAAAACAGCAGGGACAATCTCAGCTTTTGTTAGACTTGCAGTGAGAAAGGGCTGGCCACAGACTGACAGGAACCAAGCATCATGAGGGTGGCTACCTAGCTGACATGGGGGAGGTAAGAACAAAGTTTGTTTAGAAGGATCCCTCTTCTGCAATATTCTCTCTCAAATTTCTGTCAAATTGAGGCTGTACTCAGATTATTTGGATAAATATCCAGAAGTGGATGTAGTCTTTATGAATTTGTTTAAATATATTTTCAACTTCATTCTTATACACTTGGTGATGCTCTGCAACAGTCCTTTTCTAGTATCTACTGAGCATGATATGCAAAGCTATTTTTACTTCTTTTAAATACTGTGGCCAGTGTTTACTCACTGGCCACAGTTAACAGTTATGACAATAGAAATGCCAACACAGAAGGGTCTCAGTCATCTTTGGAACGAAAAACAGGTCTTACCTGTTGATCTTAAACTAACACATTAAGACTCCAGGATTTTCCAATCTGTCTGGAACAAAAGGAAATAGTCAACAAGAATGTACATTTGAATCTGGCCCTAGGGACAGAGGGAAACCTTTCAGTAAATATGAAGTTTAGACTAAAGTTCTGAATAGATGGTGTAATAGATGGTAGTGCCCTCAAGTTCAAAGTGAATCCACCATGTCCACCATGCCAATAAAACTACTGACTTTGGTCCCATAACTTCCTTTAGACCCTATTTGGTATTTCATTAACACTTGTAGATTTAGTCGTTTTGGAGCAATTCCATTTCTTCCAAAGGTGACAATGCATCTCAGATGCAGTGCCGTGCCTGCAGGACAGGGTGCCACGTGTCCCCAGCAGTGCTGGCTCACTGCAGTGGTGGCAGGGGATGTTGTCTGAGGACATGGCTCCTCAGGCAGCAGCTCCCTACACTGGGTCAGTCAGGAGGATGGCAATAATTTCCACATTCCCTCTCAGCTCAGGTCAGCACAAACCCCAGGCAGGGTGTATTGCCAAACACTGCAGTCGCTGTGTCTCCCCAGCCCTGAAGGGCACCTGTACCCACACCGTGTTTTTACACAGCACTGGCACCTTCTCATATTCCTTAAATAACGTGGTACCACGTGTACCAATTAAACAAGGTACTGTCTCTCACACAGTCTCAGTCAGAAACTATAACCACCAAACGCAAAGTTAGTTTAGCTTTTGTAACATTGCCCTAGGGTAATATGAATCACTCATTCATCTCCCCATTCCAACAGGCAATTCTTTCACATTTCCTTATGCTCCCAGCCCAGCCCCACCTCAGCACTGGTCTTGCATTCTCTACGGTCCAAGAAATGTCCACAAGGCACTGTAAACAAAGTGTTGGTTCGTATTTATTTGGTGTATTACCAGTGCATCCCAAAATGTGCCCTTATCTGACACATCACTAGCTCATTTTGTGCAAAAATGACATACCTGATTTCTTTTGACATATCTTTTGCCTCAGATTACACCAGTTTTTTACAGCAAATTTTTTTTCTGTATTTACTGCTGGGAAAGGCAAAAATATTAGGTCAGTGACAGTAACTCTTATATGTCCATGGAGCAGAGTGTGCCCTTTGCAAAAAAAAAAAACAAAAAAACAAAAAAACAGAAGGATTTTGGATTATTAATTTGAGTGCTGGATTCATTTTAGCCTTATTAGCAAAATGCTTGGACTGAGTCTATTAGCCCTAATTACAGGAGCAGTTATATGAGACCAGCGAGAGCTGTGTCCTTATGTGTTTTTTAACAAGAAAGCAAAACTTAGAAAAGAGACCAGCAATTTTTCCAAGGTACAGATAAGATCAGAGATTGATAAATGAGTAATGAGACTGCCTATAACCTTTTTTCTTAGCCAAGTGACTTAGAAAGTGAGAACAATCTATAAAAGCTTGGAAATCCTCCAAATATACCTCCACTTAGTTTATTCTAAAGCAGCATTAAGGAAAAAATATTTAAGTATAAGAGACAAAAGTAATTTATATTTTTACAAGTTTGCTGAAGATGTTTCAATATATTTAAAGCCCCCACCAGCCACCCAGGATAGCAGAGCTGTGGGAAAAACATGGACATTGCTTGAATGCACTTCCAGCAGCAGCAGCAGCTCACTATTCTTTGTAATGTTACTGAGGAATGTGAGTTATTTTTGTTCTCCTAAGAGTGAGTGGGAAATTACAATAGAGAAGTTTCGTGATTTATCCAAGCCCTGGGGAACGTGGTGGGGCATCCAACTCACAAATTTTGACGTAGTGGTTTCTCAGTCCTGTGTCCTGCTACCCCTTGCCCCAGGCACTAAAAGCCACTAAAATTAGAGCTCCCCAGCGGGCGGCTCGCCAGCAGAGCCCTGAGAGGAGGCGGCTCTCACGAACGACCACAACAGCTACAGTGCCACTGGGATGCAGGAGAGCTGTCTCTCTGGACATGAAACATCGCCGGTACAGGGAAACGGGCAGGTGCCACGACGTTTGCTAAGCCTCCTCCCCGCTACGTGCAGTCTCTGTCTGCTCCGTGCCACTCCCCAGCAGGGGAAAAGCTGGAGGGACCGGGCTGAGAGGAGCAGCACTTTTCCTGGCTAGGAGTGTCCGTAATTCCGTGTGGATTCAGCGTCCCCTGGGATGTCACCAGACACGCAGTGACGCATACTGGGACACAGAGCCCTGACCCAGGGCATCTGTAGAAAAGGGAGGCAGGAGCCACTCACCAGCAGCAGAGCAAAGCAAAAACACACACCGCCCGAGAAAAGGAGAGCAGGGAGACAGACCATCTGTAGCATCCCTGAAGCACGGGTAGTCGGGAGCATCTCCGGGGGCTGAGAGTGCTCTGGGTCCCCGCACACCACCTTGGGAGTGTCCCCAGAGGTGTGGGGTCTGGCCACACAATGCACCAGCCTTGGTGGGGTATGGTGGGGTGCTCACGGCACCCCAGGTAGGAAAGCTGAGCAGGCTCTTGGAGACCTGGCCAGTGGCATACACCAGGACTTATCTGCCCCATTCATGTCTGCACTCATTTTCCTGGGCTCTTAAAGAGCTGACCTTTAATACTGGGGCCTCCTTGTAAATGAGGCTCACCTGTGGTTGGGCCTGGACGTTATAACCTCTCTTCCTCACCGAGGTTTTGAGGAACAAGCCGGAGGTGAAGTTTAGGACTGGGGTGGAAGCAAGAGAGGAGTTTTCACCCCCCTGCACACCCTGACCCTACAAAGCACTGGCAGCAGTGGGTCTCCGGGAGCCGGACTTCAGATGCGTGGGGTCACGAGGCAGCTGGCAGGAGACGATGTGGGTTATCCCGGCACAAAGCACCTGTCTCGGAGAATCTGTGCTCTGCTCGGCCGGCCCTGCTCAGGGCGGGGTCAGGTGCGCAGGGATTGCCACGACCAGGCTTCCCCCCGAGAAACTCGGCCTCACCCCGGGCTCAGCAACAGAGGGGAGATTTCTTCCCCAGTCGCCTGCAGCGTGGGCAGGGACACTGCCATCGCTGACCATGTCGCTGGATACTACTGCATGGGCGAGCACGAAAAGTGTACCCACCAAGAGCAGCAACAGCGCAAGGTCAGCCCTCCCAGCCCCGCTGCTCGAGGGGCCGCCGCTCTCGATTTCCCCCCCGACATGGCTGCAGGGCTGTGTGTGGAGGTCGGGGGTTCCCAGCAGGCGACTGAGGGGGCGGCGAGCGGCTTCAACTCGCAGCTCCGCTCCCCTCACACCGAATTGCTCTGACTTGTGGTGTCCCCGTCTTTCCTGTTGTCAGCCTCGGCAGGGACCCTGATCAGGCGCCACAGCGAGGACCCGCGG